GGTATGCGTTTGAAAGTCTTATCGTTTGTACTTTGTCGTCACAATTAAATATAGAAGATGGGATCAAAACTAACAGCTCGAAGAAAGTCTGCATACCACATAAAAAGCACCGAGCATTATTAGGAGAAGAAGCGCAACTATAGAGGCTTCAAGAGGCAAAACAAGAGCCCTTTTCTTCGCAATCTTGGACTTAACAGAAGGTTTATCAGCAGGTTCTCTCTCTTTCTTCTTGCCTTTTTTTGACGACCGTTCTTTTGCAACTTCTTCACCCTTGTCAATCTTACCAGAAGATGAATCATCTTTTGGGGCATTGTTTGTAGAAGTGTTGTCCTCTGCCTAACAGTCAAAACACAAACCATTTTTTACCAGAACTTGGGTATAACAGATAATTCATCACAACGAATAAAGTAGAGAGAGAAGCATACTAACATCATCTTTGGAATTCGACGATCGACCTAACTGGTATTTGATGGAAGCAGTGAAAACATCAAAAGCTTGAGACAGCGCAATTCCAGACATGATGCATGCTGCTGGAGCAAGCACGAGCATAAGACGAACCTAAGAAATCAGGAAGACAGGTGAATAACTCCGGCAAGGGAAAGATGAAACTGTAATTCGTAGACAGGCAACTCACCATAACTCCGGAAAAGTATACAGACATCACAATATAAAGGACCACGAAAGAGCTCGCATCAGATAGAGGTGAAAAGCACGCCTACCAAGAAAAGAGAAAAGAATCAACACTAACTATACGGATCTTCCGTACAAAATCTAACTATAATAAACGTTTAAACTCACAATGATGCCAGCAGGGACCAAGAAAGCCAAAACATTGATATCCATGAAATAGGACGGCCAAGTTGGAGGTTGATGCTCACTGACACTTGCAATAATTGGAATATACTTGCTTGCATAAGTTCTGTTACATGATGAATAAAGAAACCAAGAAAGAACAAGGGAGTGTCAGATATGCTGCAGGCAAAAGAATCGAGTCATATAGCAGAATTCCTGAACCGTGGACAATGGCACACTCGAGATTTGCAGATAAATTTGATCGGTAGGAGAAATAAAGATTGAAAACTATAACCACTCACGGATCAAGCAGACTCAAACTCCTACCACTCCATCCTCCTGTTGGACTTGAAGCTACCAGTGCCACAAGAACTGCCACAACTATGAGACACACAACCCTGAAAAAAAATGGAGCAAAGAATTTTTTTTGATCCCATGACACATAATCCAGAAATCTAGAGGCTATTCCATCTGTACAAGCTACTAAAGTTGGATAAGATGCAGATAAACTCCTTTTATCAGGGTGTGGTAATCGTAGACAAACAGTATAAGAAAGCTTACATGCCGATAGACACAACAAGTGTCACAGCAACTTTGAACATTTTGGGAGAAAGAAGGCCTTTGATATAGTATACGAGTGCTACTACGTGGATGATGATGAAAACCTGCATAAGTTACCGACAAAATAATTTTAAAAAGTAGAAGTTAAAAGAAAAGGTAGTACAATATTCAGTCAGTTGCACAACCAAAGCTTAAATCCAGCATATCCATCCCAACAAAGTGTACGTCGTACAATTAGTTGTATGGTGTTCAGCAAATATTAAAATATCTTACAAGACAAGCTTAAATTTCAAAGAGGCTTCAAATTTCTAGGCTAGGATAATCGAAAGCATATGTAAACTCGCATCTAGAAAACTAAGCACCGAGAGGACTCATCCATGGTCGATTTAACACTCAAATTCGGAATGACTAGGCATGCCTTAAAAAATGAGGGTATGTAGAAAGAACTCACCAAAAACGAGGCAAAATGTTCAGATGTCAAAACCGCATTGAAACCAACAACAGGTACCAAGGCAGCTAATAGTGTGCCCAGGACAACCTGCATACGCATGCACACAATTTGTTTCAATAACTTTCAGAATAGTCTCATTCCGGCTATTATTCAGTATCTTACGCGATATATAAAGTTACTCCAACATAGAGAGACAACTAATTTCTAATAACACAAATTGAGGTTACCGACATTTGTGATAACCATATGAATCCTTATGGAGCTTCCTATACTAGCCACAAGAGGACAGTTCAAGAAATCTTGAAGGCTTCAAAGCAGTGGTATATATTATATCTTTTAATCATTTTATCAGTTTAATATCTTGTGCACCTATGAAAAAAGTTTTGAAATAACTAATAGCTAGAATCCAATGCTGGACAGTAAAAAGAAAGCAAATATGACTCTTACTTGTACATTCAAACTTTTCAAGGAAACAAACAGAGAAAGGCCTGTGTGGGTACTGATTGTTAATATATATTTATATGTTGCTAGAAGGAAGATACATACCAAAGGAGCATAGGCAATGTACAGTCGAGGAGAGTATCGGCCAGTTACAATGCACAGAAGCACATGCATTGGTATCAGATTGATAATGAAGGTGTAACCTCCCCAAGAACATACCTGATTGATGAAGATAAAAAAATAAAAAATATGTGAAAGTTGAGCAGAGAATAGTAAAGAGTAAATGGGGAGTTATCCAAGTCGTACCATGTAGAAGTATGCAAGGGCATTCAGTGTAGCGTAAAACAGAGAACCTGTATTGAGTGTCTGCATAAAGTCCACCAGAAATAATAAATTTAGGAACTGTTGAAGTGCTGAATAAGAAACCGAAATTTAGAAGAGAATGCTTGATGTTGGTTGTTAAATGGACTCATGGTGAAAAATCAAAACAACTTTACATGCCATTGGAGAACACGCTAACCTTTATGTAAAGATAGAAAGTGAAGATCAAAGCAAAAATGGCAACAGCTTCATTGTCATAGCTTCCAGCAACAGATCGGGATATATATGAGGGAACCTGCAAATATAATTATTCAGAAAAAGAACTAACATTCCAAAGAATCGCATCAATATACGTTTGTTGCAAATTCCACTAAACGATGCACCAAGCTGAATGGTGTACATGACATCCAGTAACTAGGCACTAACCTATTAAAATCCATAGGCATGATCTTCTTGAACAAATTTGTTTGATTCTTTAAAAAACTCATAGCCATAATGTTTTAGGAACTTAATGTGTTACTGTTCAGACTCTTCCGAGACATCAATTGAATAAAAATTCTACGTATAGTGAATAACTTACCATGGCCAAAAGAGCAGCAGCTGCTAGTCCTGCACCAGAGCCCTTGACTTCCTGTTAAAAGGCAAAATAGCTAAAATGTTGGATTAAATGGTTCTGGAGTATACTAAAAACAAAAATGTTAGACAAAAGACAAACCTTAGTCAAAAGGTAAGTTGCCCAGGATGCGAAAGCTGAAAATACAGGAGCAGTGAAGACACAAACAGTCTCTACTGACAGAGGAATGTTAATTGCATTCAAGGCCCTGTGGCAGGTGGATAAAAATATCAAAATTATAAACTGATCTTCACGTGTGTAATCAAATAATTGCTGATATCGGTGAAACTACACTCACCACCAGATGGTTCCAGCAGTCAATGTCAAACCAGGGTAAACAGTTCCTCCAATAACACGGCCAAGAGGATACCTATAAACCAAAAAAAGGAAAGAAGATAAGTATAATGCTACTGAAGATAGACCAAGAGATCTAAAGTTCTAGTCCTGATAATTACCAGGTCCGATCATCAAACCAGTTCCAGAACTCGTATATTCCATTCTTCGATAAGAACTGAAACAAACAACAAATAAAAAAAGGACCGCAACCTGATAAATTAACTCGTTCACAAAGCAAAAACTAAATGGATATAAGAAAAGAGAGGGGAACCTGAGTGACTCTGTAATTGAAGTAAGGATCAAATTCATGAATCACACTTTCATACTTTATGACCTGAAAGGAGACCCAAAAAAAAAAATTAAAACACTGGAAATTAAAAGATTGCTAAATTCAAGGACGAATTAGTCTCATCCCAAGCATTCTCTTAATTCAAAGTAGAGATGAAACGCAAATCTATGAGCAAAAATTGAATGAACACCTCGAAAGCTAACACATTTAATAATATGAACAATCATTCAAAAGGGTCTGAGCATAAAGACAAGTATTATAAGGCACATATATGAAATCCACGTATTCCTGTTACCGAACCAAGGAACAACATTTGCATCATTACACAGAGAGTGATGGAGAATTTAAGCTACACCGAGCAATCGCAATATCACGAGATCGGATCCAGAATAGTCGGATCTAAACTAGTTCAATCGGATCTAGAACCGACTAGCGTATGTTTTGCGTTAGAATAAATTAAAGGAGGAGAGAGGACAGTGAACTCACAGAGAAGAGACGGATCGAGAAAGCGAGGACACCAATGAGGAGGAGGATCAGAGCTGAGAGAACGGTTCCGAAAGCATTCCTCATCGCAGACGACGTACCAGGAGGTGGACTCTCTTGAGTCGCCATTTTTCTTTTTACGCTGAGAATGTGAGAGCTCTCCGGCTCGAGAGAGAGAGAGAGAAACGACTTTGAAGGTGGACGAAGACTCTACTCGGAAAGGGTTTTTCGAAGCAGACAGAAACAAATCCAATCTCTTACTCACACGAATTTTACAGACATGTTTTAGCTTTGCGGTAAGTCACTAGTTAACTACTGGCTGGTCTTCGTGGATTTAACACTTGTCACGTGTTGATTCGCTATAATCTCTCCGTTTTTATTTATTTATTGCGTGATCTAAAGTCACGAACAGAACCAAACCGTAGTTGACTTTTCAGACCGGTGCAATAGTAGAACTCCAATAAAATCGGTTTAGTCTAGAAAGTACAGTCACACATTGATGGTTGGTGGTGGTGGTGATGAATCATATAATGATTAGGTTGAACTTAAACCCTAATCAATCAAATAAGGTATTCCAAAATACCGTTTTTTAAAAAGGTCTACAAAGTACTATTTTGAGAAGAGTGATATAAAATGGAGACTGTGATCTACACGATCTTTCCATGGGTACATTAGTAAAGATAGCTCTTTCTTGTACAAGATATTATTATAAAGAATCAAAACCTATAAATTGATCGTTTTTTTTCACATATTTGTTCTGGTTCATTGACTTCACACTAGTGATGAAAGAACAGACGTGACAATAGTAACCAAAAGCAGTGAAATCTCAACACATTGCAACTTTTCAGTGCTTAACAAAATCACACACACAAAAAAATTGTCACGGGGAAACAAAGACAACCTCAGCCTTACAAACAGACCAAACACTGCTTACGGACAATAACAAGCATTGTGTTTGCTTGCAAGGGAGCAAGAGAGTCGTTTTGACAAAAATATCGATGAAGAGAACGATTTGATTTTGCTCGTTTCCACTTCTTTATGATAAACAGCCGACCACACGTATATTTCGAAATAGCACCTGATTTCTTGGATTCAATGCACATGCTCTTAAGTCTTTTAAATATGAAGAAGCTGGCTCTCATAAAACGAGGCATATCCATCCATCTTCAAGCAAATAAGTTAGAATCTATTTGCTCCACATTTGGGAAGATTTGTCTCAGCACAGCAACGTAATCAGAAGACTTGGCCTGACAAGAGAGAGACAATACATAAATTAATAAAACTTTTAAGTAGATTTCGCTTCATGGATGGATCCAAAATGAATTGATAACTTCCACAATTTCCCAGCCAGAGAAACTATAATCTAAAGAAGCTATTGGGTCTCAACCAAGTTGCGATGCTCAACTTATGTTCCTTGATGCATGCATTAAATGATTTATCTATATTACGATGCACACTACACAAGACAAGCAATGGGATCTTATGCGTGCCACTAAATTGACATGCCATATCAAAAAAAGCAAAACAAAGATATGAAATCCTACGACATGCATGACCAGAAACTGAAAGACCTTGATGTATGGTTAGACTTACACAAGGATTATTTTCGAGGTAGATAGTAGTGAGCTTCTCTTTAGAGCCTGTAACAGCTTCTGTGATTGCTTCAAGTGATTCTATCTGGTTGTCATTAAGCCATAAATCTTCCAACCTACAAAATTAATGCCAAGTCAAGATGGAGAACAACAAACACACAAAATAGGTCTAAGGCAATGGAAATGTCAAGTACTTTGTGAGGTTCTGAATATCATCAACGGATGTAAGCTTATTGTTCGAGACGTCCAATACCCGTAGGTTAACCAATGAACTCAACCCTTCCATTTTTGAGATACCATTATGACTCAAATACAACTCCTCAAGAGCAACACATTCCTGAGCACATATTTTTAAACGCATCAGATTACTAAAAATGCTTATGATATCTTCAGCAGAAAAGGTAAAACAATACACACCTCAAATCCTCTCATAGAAGTCAACCTATTACTCTGCAAACTAATCTTTTTAATACAAGTGAGCCCACACAGATTCACAACTTTGATACGGTTTCTTCCAAGCCATAGCTCATCTAATTTAGTGAAATTCTCCATATTCTCCATTACCTGAAACATCAAGTCTCTCCATTTTCATTGCTGAATCCTTAAAAAAAAACACCAAAGAAGGTGGGAACAAAACAAACCCGTAATCTATTGGAACCGAGTTCAAGAATCTGCAAGTCATGCAAGTGTTCAATCTCAATAATCTTGTTAACTTCATTCTTAGACACGTAAAGCTCCTTCAACGTACTAGAGGCCTTTGATAACCCTTCCAACGAAGTGATCTCATTGAAAGACACGTCGAAAACCAAAAGCTTTGAGAATATGCCTATATCTGGAACTTTCGCTAGCTTGTTATCTCTCAAAATCAGCTCCTGCATATATATATAATAATAGATGATCAATCTCACGATTATAGAGAGAGAGAGGAGAGGAATCACCTCGAGATCGGACAAGGCGTCCCAGCGAGATAAAGGCTCGACGGCGGAATCTTCGATTAGGTTTTGGCGAAGAGAGAGCTTCTTGAGCGCGGAGAGATGAGCGATCCTTGAGTCTAGTTCCGATAAACGGTTCGCCGTGAGGTCGAGTTCGGTTAGGGTCGGTGGTAACTCGATGGAATCGAGAGTGTGGAGTTGGCAGCTGGTGAGATCGAGAATATTATCCGAATCGTCGATCTCCATTGATGGTTGCTCTTCCTTTTCGCTGTTCATAGCTTTTTTTTTGGCTCAGGCGAACGACGACGACGAGCTTTGTGGGGAAACTTGTTCTAAGCGAATTGCTCTTACAGTTAAAACGGTGGCGTGTTGTGACAGGGTTGATATTGTGGGTGGAAAGCCCATGAACGGGCCCATGAGCTAAATATAAAACGAATTTTGATGTTGAGTAAAACTTAAGACCTTTGTTCTCGGGCCCTAGTGCTGACTGCTGAGCATCACCCCAATTTATACTTAATCAGTTAAAAAAATGAAATATTCACAGAATATTCTTCGTAATAGTCATACAAACAACATTTCAAAAATAACTGATTTAGGATTTAGCCATTTAGATGACTTAGGGTCTGACTAGTTCTTCTGCCATCATCCGCAAACGCAACTTTTGCAGTTGGTAGTGGTTGTTGGTGTTTTGCAACAATCACAGAAAACGAAATAAACCGCTTCAAATCGCTCTGAATTTCTAAAATTCAAAAGCTGGTTCCAGCTAACGTTTGCGGTTATGGACGATTGCGGGAGGATAAAAGATAGTATCTTTTTTTTTCAAAAAGCTATATAAATATAAAAATAAAATATTCAATTAAAATAATTGAAATACTGAAATATTTATATTATAAAATTTCCTAAAAATATTTTCTTTAATTTTTAAAAAATTTAATAGTACAGTTTTTTCAATAATTTTTTTATATTTATCATGAAAATATGATTTTAATATTTTGATAGCTATATAAAATCTAAATATTGTTAATTTATTACTTAACCGCTGTTGTATTTGATGATAAACCAGTCATAAATATCCCGCATACGCAACAATTTTTAACCGTTGACCCAGTCGTATAAATCTCTTACTAACGCTTAAAACCGCAATCTCTCGCATCCGCAAATACCCGCAACCGCAATCGCTGCGTTGTAACCAGTCAGGCCCTTAATTGAGTTGAATTTTGCTTGGCTTATCCATAGAACATCTCTCGAATACATCTACAAATTTATTAGTCTCAAGAAAATCAATATAAAGAGTCAAATTACATCCCAAATACATTAGTAGGCTTAAGTCGAGGCTTAAACGAATTATTGTGTATGCTTCTTCAAGATGGAGTTACAAATTTGAAAGTCATAGAACAAAAGATTTTAATGTGTATCCCTGCAACATGTACACATTTGTCATATATATTAAGAGTTATCATCTTCTATATTAAAAGAGAAGTACCATTTATATCTACTACAAAAAGTCATATTGGACTATTTCATTAATATAACATATTTGATTATTTATATTAATCAACCAAATATATATTACTGAAGAAATATTTTAATAATATATAACTATAAAGTTATCTTTAATTTCATTTATAACAAAATCTGTTGAGAAAATATCTAA